CTGAGAAATCTATCAGGAAAAGAGAAGACCAGTTCCTCTGATGGCAGAAACAGCTACCATCACACACGGATTCCAGAACTGCCAAGCGAAGTTCTGGCCTGATGCATTCCACTTTCCTCTTTGACATGCTCTGATTTCTTTTTTAGGGCTGGCTGGAGGGCTGTGTCAGCCTGCTCAGAAATGGTGCTAAGCAGAACATACCCGACAAAAACGGGAGGTTGCCACTACACGCGGCTACAGCAGAGCCTGACGTGAGGTATGTCCCAGGCTCCAACAGCATGTGCTGACTGTACCTCAACAGGGAGTCACCAACACAAGCTGCTCAGCCCAAAGGGGAGCCTGAGTCAGGAAGGTCAGCTGTGACAGTTACACTTGTGACTCGCTCCTTGGGATAGTGGTTACCATAAAGAAGGTAGTGAGGAGGAAAAGCATTGCACGACACTTTTGAAACAGAGATACGTGGCCAAGTAAGGTAAGGAGCCTGGCTTAAGATCACAACAAAAGGAGGGAAAATAAAAATTGTAATAAAAGGTTGGAACTTTGGTTTCCCCTGACCAATTACTGTTCTGCCACCTCCCCACAAGAAATATTACAAGAAGCTCCTTCTCTGGACTTCTCCAAGTAGCATGGCAAATGTGAGAAAAGTTTTCCACACGACAACCTCTATGATCGCCCCTGCTGTAAAAGGGAAGCTGAGGTTTGGTAGACTAGCTCATTTTTGACTACTTTTACTGAAGGTGGAGTAACAACTACAGAGTGTCTTTACAAGAAGCTTTAAGAAAGAGCCTCTTTGTCTCATTCCATACTTTGGTAGTAGGAAGACTTAAAAAAATTTTGATTTGTACATCTGAATAAATTCAATAAAAAAACTCTCCTAAGTAAATCATGTCTGGAGGGATAGGAAGGCATTAGAGACAGGTAAAACATTCAGTACATGCAAAATGTTCATGTGACTTAATCGCTGACTCTATGGTATTGCTGCTGTCACCATATCAAACCACCTCAGACCTCTATGCATTTCTGCTCATCTTGCTCTCCAGCCTTTTTTAACAGCTTTATTCATTTTCCATGTTACAATTGCTTTTCATGCATCACTTGGAGAGAATAGTTTGAGGTTTCTGCAAAAGTATGGGTGACTATCATTAAACAAAGCCTCCACAGAAAGAACGCAATGTTTGTACAACATGGCACATGCTGCTACTTGAAAGGGAGCAGTAGTCTACTTTACCAGCAGCACAAAGGGTTCCCTGAACATTTCTCACATTCTCCATGGATAAAGAAAGGCCACTGCTCTGCACAGGAGTTTACCAGTTGCTCAGTTCCTGTTCCTCTGTCTTCTCACCGGGTTTGCCTTGGCCCAGAAGACATGACTGGAGCACTGAGGGGGAGGCTTTTCCATCATGGTCATTGTCACTGTCTTGAATCCCATGTTGTTGCCAAAAGGGTATATGCAGTGGTCAGCTATGAAATGCGTTTTGAGACATGCTTGAAAGCTGGCACCCCACTGCTACCATCCCGTGTACTGGAGGTAGCACATGAATCACATGGAAAGACAGAGACAGTGATCAATCAATTTATGTATTGAACTGATAATTGATCTATACTCGTCAGTGCGTTCCACACAGTGTAAGAGGAAAGATGGAAAGAGAATCCATGGACTTCCTGATCTATGCCTTTAAAAGTAGATATCAGAGAAATTTCAGCTGCATGGCTGAACACCTACATATTTGAGTGGTTGCACTTCTGTTGCCATAATGGTCTAAGGATAAAAGTGAGCCAAAGTTTGTTATCATTAGAGGTTTTACACTCAAAGAATTAGATTTACTTCACATACACTGGTTTCATTTATTATATCTGGGGTTAAACTACGGAACCATGTATCAAATTATAAAACTTTGTGATAAATGGGTTTACAAGCTTATTATGGTTATCTCACTTTCTTTCTGCTCAGTAGTCCATTTTTACCCAGACCTGTTTTCAGATACTGAATTTCTGAAATTCTGAGTCATTGTGCCAAACGACCACAAAATGTGTCTTTCCTTTCACAAATTCTTTACCAAACTAAGCACGGCAATCCTAAAATATCATCCTTTCCACAGTTCCTATAGGATGACTCCATTATGCCATTGGTGGTGTGATTCAGAAAAGGAGGTGTAACACCCCTTTTCTACAAGTATTTTTATCCATATACAAATGGATTTGAAGTCCTAACAAAGCACTAGGATCTGACCAGTCTCCACTCTTTAGGGATATTCTAGTTAGATAAAAATTAAATTTGGGTTTCTGACACCTGAAGAAGACATTACCAATGAATAAATTTTTCACCTGCAGAATTACCAAAATCATCCCTAAGCAACTGTAAATTACTTTCTTTTGAATAATTTACGTTATCTAGTTGTTTATTACGGGGGGGGGAGGGTGGGGTGCGGAATTTGTCATGTTACTTGATCTGATCCACACACCTGAGCACAGTTCGATCCAGAAAACAGTGGAAGTTGTTGAAGATTGTCCTGATAAAAGCAGCAAAAGATTTTCATTCAGGCTTACATGCATGAGAATAAATGCATGATTGTATACATTTATCTGTGCATTATCTGTACATTTATCAGAGTTCCCTCCTTGACACTTTATCATCTTTTAATTTTCTTGCAAAACCGCATGTCGTTTAAATGTCTGTGTTTTGAAGGCATCTAGCAAATTCAGATGAGTCACAGGATTGCAATTAGGATCTATGCTATTTGGCTTTCTTACAGCCTGTGACAGGATGGTCCTTTTTATCTCCATGGTCCACCCATGTACATGATCCGAACACTTGGCATCCTACTATAAAATACAGCAATGTTTGCCAAACCTATAGTGACTTCAGAACTTCTTCATAGGACACCAAAAGGAAAAGAAAAGCAAAATCCATGCAGTGTTAAAAATATTATTGCACTTGAACAATATTTCATGGAACTATTTTATTGTAACTGTTCCCTCCACCAGAGGGGAGTATTTGTAGCCTGATATTCTATAAAATGTGAACCAAGGCATTGCTATATTTTATACCATAACAATGACCCTTTCCCAGCAGACACAGTGCAAGGCCTTTTAAAATACTACTGGTTTGTGCATGTGTAAATATAGTATGCATGCATACACACACACACAGAGGAAACACATACACAACATCACATTACGAGTTAAGGACAGTGAAAAATCCTTTTAGAAATTGGCCATTAGCATTTCTGTTTGCTTAAAACTTTATAAAATAGGATGACAATGAGTTGCTAAGCTACCAAAAACTGCACACATATATGGTATTGCACACTCTGATTCTAGCCTGGCAGTCAGCACAAGAATTCTTCCTAGTGGATTTGCTTTCAATTCCCAGCACTAAACTTCTGTTGTTACAATAAGCCATAAAGTCCTATTTGCTTTTCTAGTATGACAAATTTCAGACCTAAGATTCTGACCCGTGCCCGTCACTAATTCTGATTTTTCTTGAAATTGAATGTTTTGTTTCTCAAAAAATGTCAATTTTTCAAGTTCAGTCACGAGTACAGCACACTGATTATGTCATTGCTTCCACAGGCTTCTGAACGTGCTTCTGCAGCAGTCAAATCTTAGTGAAATTAATCATCAGGACAATGAGGTGAGTGAGCTTGTGCTACAAGCCACAGTCGCAGGCTCTGGGGCATACAAATCATGCTGTTCAGAAAGAGTCTACTGTACTATCAATTTTATGATAAAACTATGCACCAGTCAAAAATTGCTTAATGATTTTGTTGAACTCTGCAAAGCATTATCTCATTTTTCCTACTATACATGATGCACCTTTAGGCTAATAAGCATTCTCCGTATACCACCAACTGTGAGGTACCTTGTATCAGTCTCTTCACTCACTTGCCAAGACATGAATTGATTTTGATTCTGCTGAAGTTAGACATTGGACCAAAACCTCACCTTTACCAGTCATCAGGTCTTTAAAGTACTGTTCTCAGGAAAAATATTGGAATGCTGGTATTACACAGAACAGCCATGGAGCTGCAAAAATTTATGCTACTCTTTTCCTTAAAGAATTGTGTCCTGCATATATATAGATAGATACATATATATAATGTACATGGGAGGGTGTTAACTTCCCAAATGTATTCTTCTCCAATTAGAAGAGCCAAGACACAAAAGAGGCGTTGGATGTCTTCTTGTATGTTTCTTTTCACTTTAACAGTTGCTGAAGGTCATGTCTTTTCTCCATGGTGCCAGAACTGCCACAGGATTGTTATTTTTCTCTCTTCTCACGAATATTCTTAATCCACTGAAAGGTTTGCAGACCCTGCTCACAACAACCTAAACCAGACATATGTTCTGTCTTGATATATAAATTGCATGGAACCGTGGAACAAAATTTCAAGCTGTAACGTTTTGCTGTAGCACATAGCTACATGCAATTTGGAACTTTCAGTCCAGCTTGCTGTCATTTGGCACTGAGAAGATATTTGCTTAAGTGTCAGCAGTAAGTCCTGAATATTCATATTTTCTGAAAAATGTGGATCCTCACAAATGATTGCAGCTAATGGAGCTGTTCTCTTGGCATAAGTAAAACACTTCAGTTTTCCGATCTTACACTTGATAAAAACACCTCAACAAATGCATGAATGCATAAACAGCAAGAAATACATCTGGAGGTTTCATAGTTTCCACAACTGTGGCTTTCTGTGGGTTTACTTGTGAAGCATGTGAGATGACAATGTGAAGAAACATTCCCTGAAAAAGCCTTGAATCTGGGCAAAACAAGTGTCACACTATATTTCCCACAGCCATTTCTTCTTTTTTCTCCGTGTATGTCCCCTGTTGCTTCTTATTTTTAATTAATGTGCAATTGTTTGGCTGTCTCAGCTTTCGTATCATATTCTACCGAATCTTCAGCTTTGCTGGTTCTGACATCACTCCCTTGTTTCCTCTGACAAACAGTAGTCTATCTACAGATGCCACCCCAGGATGGTGTCACCACACACGAATCAGGTGGGCTGACAGCCGTTGCCTGCTGCAGCAGGCCCATACGTGTGAGTTGCCGCTACAACCAGCTCAATGCTCTTTGCTCAGTTTTGGGCTCCGAAAGGACACGTGGAACGTACGCATTATTAGAAAAGAAATAGAGAACAAAACAGGAAGCAGCATTATGCTCTGTCTGAATCCTTGGTACACCCACATCTTGAATGTCAGCTGCAAGAGTAATCTGAAAAAGGATATACAAGAAAAGGAAAAGAAAAGGGCTACAAAGATGGTAATAGTTACAGAGGAGCTTCCTTTCATGGGCAGGCTAACAACTAGAACAAACTGACTACAATGGGACTTTCAGTTTGGCAACTATGTCAGAGGGATGATATAATACAAGTCCATGGCATCATAAATTTCATGAAGAAGACGAAAAGAAAACTATTATTAACTGGTTTTACATCTAAAATGACAGAGACAACTACAGAAATTATCAGGCAGTAGTTTTAAAGAAAATTAAAATACTTATTTTTTCAGAAATTGCATTTCTGCCCTTTGGAGGTCTGGATGTCATAGGAAGTCTTTAGTCTGACTACCAAATGTCAGGTGACTGTATATCATCAAGCTGTGTGGTGTTGTGGACACACTGGAGGGAAGGGACGCCATCCAGAGAGACCTTGACAGGCTGGAGAGGTGGGCCTGTGAGAACCTCATGAAGTTCAACAAGGCCAAGTGCAAGGACCCGCATGTGGGTCGGGACAATCCCAAGCACAAGTACAGGCTGGGCAGAGAATGGATGGAGAGCAGCCCTGAGGAAAAGGACTTGGGAGTGCTGGTGGATGAGAAGCTCAACATGAGCCGGCAATGTGCACTGGCAGCCCAGAAAGCCAACCGTATCCTGGGCTGTATCAAAAGAAGTGTGGTCAGCAGGTCGAGGGAGGTGATTCTGCCCCTCTACTCAGCTCTCGTGAGACCCCACCTGGAATACTGTGTTCAGCTCTGGAGTCCCCAGCACAAGAAGGACATGGAGCTGCTGGAGCGGGTCCAGAGGAGGGCCATGAAGATGATAAGAGGGCTGGAACACCTCTTCTATGAAGACAGGCTGAGAGAGTTGGGGTTGTTCAATCTGGAGAAGAAAAGACTCCGGGGTGATCTTATAGCATCCTTCCAGTACTTAAAGGGGGCCTGCAGGAAAGCTGGAAAGGGACTTTTTACAAGGGTGTGTAGTGGCAGGACAAGGGGCAATGGCTTTAAACTGAAGGAGGGGAGATTTAGATTGGATATAAGGAAGAAATTCTTCCCTCTGAGGGTGGTGAGGCAGTGGAACAGGTTGCCCAGAGAAGTTGTGGATGCCCTGTCCCTGGAAGTGTTCAAGGCCAGGCTGGATGAGGCTTTGGGCAACCTGGTGTAAGTGGAGGGTGTCCCTGCCCATGGCAGGGGGGTTGGAACTAGGTGATCTTTGAGGTCCCTTCCAACTCAAACCATTCTATGATTCTATGATTCTATAAGCCTTGCTGCTTATATTTTCCCCGCAAGCATCTGCTACTGACCTCTCTGAGCTGTGTGCCTGTACTGGAGAGATCTTTGATCTCTACCCACAGGTCTCACACTCGTATGTTACAGCTGACTCTGCTGGCTACCACAGTAGAAACAGAAAGATAGACGATTTCTCAAGAATTTTTTATCCTTATCAACAGACTGAGAGTGGATGACAGAAAGCTGGCCAGGTACACTGTAGCTTCTCTTTCAGTGACTTTTCCTGTTCTCCAAGATTAGGGGTGAGGACGTATTTCCTGGATGGAAATCACTTCACTGAAGTCCTACTCCATGGCACTCACAGGCACTGAGTGTCCATCAACAGTACTAAGTCCCTTGTGTCAAAACCTTGGTGCACTGACGTCAATGGCACAGCTCCCATTAATTTCAGTCAGGGCAGGATTTCACTCTCATTTTTGGTTTTACAAAACCAAAACCCCCATGATTAAGCTTTGTAAAACCTAACTAAAAACAAAACTGCTCTTGTTCAACTGCTCTATTTTGTTGTCACCTAAATTTAAGCCATCTGGGGACTTGAAAAGCCTAGTAAGATACCTGATGAGTGAGAGAAATTAATGCTAGGGCATTCAAGCTTCTAGTTAGAAAATCACTGCTAACTACTTGCACTGTTAGTGCACTGATAAGCTGTCTGCATCAATGTTTTATAGTTTATACTTTACCTGAGTTGTTGCCAATTGGCTTTATGGAGTTCTATGTCAAGTTTTAAGTTCTTTTCCACTCTACTTTTTTTGCTTTTTATCATTTTGGAAATCAGGCAAGAACCTTGAAAGGCAGTTTCCCTGATAAGAGACAGTAAACAACACCTGCCCAAAGTAAAATGTTACAACATCTGAACAACATGAACAACATTAGCAATTTTTAAGGACCAAGTAACTTGATATAGAAAATCTTTAATATTATGGATGTAGAGTAAAATATAGGTGTGTACAATAATGCTGATGGAGGTACAAATACAGGACATGAATTCTGTGATCTACTAAGACTCACTGAATACAACTAAGATGGAACTAAAACGCAAGTCAACAGCTTACCATTTGCTTTGTTTTCTCCCTAAACAGTAAACACGAGATGTTTATATTGTGACTTTTTTGTTGACATCACTGGGCCAGTTCCTTAGCTCGCTCACCAGTGCCAGCTAGAATACTAGCTTAAAATATTTATTTTGGATCAAAGATAGGACCTAAAATAAACATCACACTATGTCACATCGAAGCACCAGTCTAAAAGAGGCTTTTCTCACAGGATCCAGACTGATCTGAGAGGGACCATCCCCCAGCCATCACGGCTTTGACCACTGCATTATTTAAAACAGGCGATAGTCACATACAAAAGAAGCATTTGTATTTTCTGTAACAGCTCCAAGAAGGTGATTTATTGGTTCACCCTTATGACTCCACTAATTCAGAAGCTGTTACTGATCATCCCAAATCAAGAGGGAGGGCGGAGAGTCTGTCAGTCCCAAATGGTTTCAGAACTGTCTAGCTTATCTACAGAGACTTGAAAGGTGCTCCTGTCACTGACGATTATTTGCTCTCGGTTTGTGGATTCCAGGGAATGACTTCACTCCACTGGGCTGCTTTCCACAACAGGCCCCAGCACACCCAGACTCTGCTGCACAAGGGAGCGGACCTGACTCTGGTAGACAAAGACTTCAAAACAGCTCTGCACTGGGCGGTACAGGTGAGCCACCGCCGCGTTTTCACCAGGCAGTTGCTTGAGCTGAGCAGGTTATTGTGGTGTCCTAAATACTCCAAAGGCAATTATTTTGGCTGTGAAATGAGGAAAATAGATGCTAGGAATGCCCACTAACAGCCTCAGCATTTCGCCAGCAGGCATGGATCAGTGATCTAAGATCTTCTTTGGAGAGTAAGGCATACTTAATATAGGCTCAGCACTGTTGCCCTAAACAAAGTTACCTTTATGTCACTGGGACTATGTGTGTGCTTCATGTGGAACTCACGCTGAAATTTTTCACTAAATCAGAGTTGCAGAAATCAGCAGCTTAAATAGTCTTGCCAAAGGCTCTTGGGAATAAAATAATGTAAACGCAAGTTAAAACATGTTTAAACAGCTATAGTTGTGGAATAATTAGCTGAAGGTTGAGGCTCTACTTCTCTGGAGGTTAAGGTAGGCAAGGAGCCAAGCATATTTTCTGTTGAGCTATATGTTCCTATCTCCTATGCAAAAAAAATGTCAAATTGCTAAAAATTACTCAGGCCATCATTAGAAAAGAAAAACGCACAGGTTTAATGTGGCATTAAACACTGCATTATGCAATTGGCATTAAGTGGTCTGAAGTATAGCATAATTTACCAAGTTATGCCTAAACTTTACTGCAGAAAACTTCCCAGATGAAATAATATAAATATGTTTTTACTTGCTCACTTGCCATAGCAAGTTCCGGTATCAATGTTCAGAACACCTGCACACCAGATAAGCAGAAATAGAACTGGCACAGAAATCCAGTAACATTTTCCTACAATGACTAAATATTTGCATCCTCACCTTTTCATCTAAGTTCAATCATCTTAAAAAATGTGTCAACAAAGAAATGTAAAAGCTCTGAACTACCACGTACTATATTTGTAGATGAGTAAGGACATCTAGGACGAATAATCTGTTTCCTTCAACCACAGCCTCCCACAGATGGTTCATGTGTTTTTCTGAAGTAGAGGTATATTTTGGCCTCTGCAACTGGTATTATTGCAACAGTAGTTTTGTTCTTCTTTAATCAGTCTGAAACTGGGCTACATCCCTTGCTTTTTTTGCCTTTACGACATTAAATGCATCTACTGTAAAACCTGTTGTGCATTTTTACTAGGCTTGCTCCAATGCAGGCTGCTTCCAGCGGGAAATCTCTGAAACTCATGCACATTCCTGCAGGCTAGGCAATGGTCTGGATCATAGCACGGGGAACAAGCTATCTCTCAAACAGAGAGACAAAAGGGAATTCCCTTCTATCAGAACCTTCAGAGTTCCCCTCATACCTTAATCTCTCCCTGATTCTTTGTTTTGTAGATTTTATTATTTAATTCCACCATTAACTCCCACCTCCACCTTTCTCTCACAAACACACAGAATAACTCTTGAGAAAGGGTAAAATAAAACTGTACAAAACCCCCTTGGCCTCAGGTGGAGACAAATCACAAATCCTTCTTCTTTCTTCCTTTAAGTTCCTCCCAGAAATCAGAGGAAATGTGTGCAGGATGACCCCCTCTTTTTTTCTTCTTGAGAGATTCTTGCTAGGAAGCTTTATAAATTGCTTCTCCCATCCACATACTTCTCCATACTTTAGGTCTAGAAGGGATAGTTGAAATACCAGATCATGAAACAGATCTGTTAATATTTCTCTTACTCAAGCTTGGCCAAGAAAATGTACCTTCAGCCAGTGCTCTCTGCAGCCATATTAGGCCCAGAAGAAACAGACACTGTGGACAAGCATGACTTTCTCTACTATGACAGAGATCAGAACAACAGCTTTGCTGGGTGGGATCGTCATTATGTCTAATAGCCTCCTCCGTGGCTGCTGAAAAGGCATATTTTTCCTTAAGAGTTGTATTCGTATCTTCAGAGCACAAGAGACTCACAGAGCTCAGGCAGTACCAGCTGCAGGGGTTGTTTTCGGCTGAATGGAGCCCTGTGTTTAATTTCATTTTTAAAAAACGCAGCAAGGGGAAGATCAGGCACTGCACAGAAACTTGTTTCAGAAGTTGCAGGAAAGAGGCAGTTTATGCTCACTGGGCTGGAGCACAGAGCAGGACCACATAAAAACCATTGCCCCACATCTGAAAACAAATTGTCAGTCATGTTTCTTATGCAGTAATTGTTCCACGCTGGCTGTTTCAAAGACCGTGTGTTTGGCACTTGGTCTCCCATCAGACAGCCGGTGGCTGTGGAGTCCCAGCTGTGTAACTAGACAGACTTTGCCTACACCAAGGTCTGCTCTATTGAAAAGCTCAAACCTCCTTCTGCTCGAGTTCGCACCTTCAGAGCAGATGTGTTTCATCTGTGTCAAAAATACAGGTCATTCTGGTTTGAAGTGAGAATGTCTCTGTCACGTTTTTTACACGTGCAATATTTTTAAGAGCTAGTGCAGACAGGGCTATATGGAAGCATCTCAGGAGGTATTTCTCTCCTTTCATTGCAGCCAGCAATAATTGCTGTAATGAAAAGGAAACACACCTTTGCAACAAAAAACTATTAACTGATACTGGAACAAAGTGCAAAGCGGTTCTAAGGGTGGTAGATAATTTTGTCATTGAAATCCTAGTAAAATATAGTATGTTCTATACAGTGTACACTATCATACTACATACTACTGTATCATAATATAATAGTAGTACTTTGGAATAGCCTGTAAAGATTTGGAGTCTTCCTGCATTTCCTTTCCAGTTGTCATGATTTTAACCAGAAGTTTCTTTGTCTCTTTCTTAAAACCAGCTCCCAAAGTCATATGATTATGTAAAAATATCAGCTTTCATTTAAAGAATAAACAATCAAGCAAAGATTTATTCTTAAGTAAAGAAATGAAACCTCCAGGGATAAAAAGAAGGCAGCTAAAAAGAAGCCATTAAAAATAATATTCTGCCATGTGGAGTTACGCTTACAATTTTTTTATAGATTGATTCAAAGGGCAAAGCTTTAAAAAATTACAAGCCTGCATATTCGCTCCATAGCAACAATGCAAATATTTCATTCCCCTGTTTCCTGAGAGCAGAATGAAATACCTGCATATCTTGAACACGTTGTAAAAGCGAAGCACAGGCAATTATTCATTTTGTGTTCGGCTGAGCAAGCTTGGCAGCCTCTCCACAATTACTTGGAAGGTGAGCGCACACTTAAATTTCGGGATCTCTAGGAAGGAATCTCTCTGTCACTGCCGAGCATCTCAAGGGCACAGCTGGCCACCCAGCCAGGGCAGTGGAAGGGGCCAAGGAAGGCAGTGGTGGCTCGGCGCCAGGGTCTCTCCTGAGGGGTCACTGCGCTCCTGCTCTCTGCCCAGCACCTTGTTTTCTTTCTGTGGGCTGCCTACTCTGGAAGAATTCAGAGAGACTTCCAAAGACTTCTGAAAACTTAGTGAGTGTTTCTCCATGGCAGACATGGTTGTTGCCGGATTAGGCCAGAAAAGGTGCATTTGCTAGTCTGGTTGGTTTCAGGCAGCTTTCTTTCATTGCAAAATTGTATTTGTTTTCTCCTTGTTTCACGCAGTTTTTCTAGAGACAGCTAGAAAGGGAGAATAGTTATTTCTTTTTTTACCTTACCGAGCTTTAAAGACAAGTTTGACTGTGAAAAACAGGTTCAATTTGCATTTTTAAAGCAAACCCTTAAGAAATCCCTTTCTTATGTAAATATTGTCATTCCTGCAAAAGTACAGTCGTTGCTTGTGGAGGCTGGAACGTTGCATAGCAGCAGGAATCTACAGAGTGAGCTGTCAAGTTGCAAAACAAGGAGGAGGAGAGTTTGCAAATAGTTTTGAGTAAAAAATAAATTTGCTCCAATACCATCAGAAGCTTTTTCCAAAAAGTGCCCTAAACTTTTGTGACAATGTCCGCAATAGCAAATGAAATGTGCTTAAGTCTTGGCTCTGGCACCAAGGCCAACTATCACAGGACAGCCTGTGTCCCTACTACTAAACTCTCTTATTCTCTAACAAGATGGTCATATGCAGACCACTTATTGGGAACAGTTTATGTCCCATACTAGCTCCTGAACTATGTCCAGGAACCGGTGAGAGAAGTGTTAGTTGACCCAAGTCAAAATCATGCCAGGGAGGATTTTAAAAATTTTACTTCACAGACAATGGAGTTCTGATGCTCAGGGATATTCCCTAGTGCTACTTAATTGCTTATATAGCTGTAATCTATTTCTCCTCTTTCATTTATGTCAGTTCATAAGACAAACCCCCTTTTGCGACTTGTACATGGTACAGCAGTATTGATATACAAACTCATCAGTACAACCAGATCATCAGAAAAACTGGCTTTACCTGAAATAATTGGCTGTTAAAGAGTAAGTCCTTCAAGTATGAACATGCCATTGACAATGTAATTATTCACGCCAATCAAATTTCCAAGGAAATCAATTGGCAGAACTCCCACTGAGCTTAGTAGGAATTTGTCTCGGGCAAAACCTGTAGGTAAGTACAGGATAATTGCCAGACCTCTTCCCAGCACAGAGTCTAGGTGTAACTCCACAAGTGGACGCCAGAACATGAGTTCTGCACCACACTTTCTGCATATCTATAAATATCCTCGTCTCCTATGCCTGACAAAAACACACTGGAAGACAAACATTTCCATTTCTCTGATAGTAATAAGTAATAAACCCTTATTCCATTGCAGAATAAAAGATGACCTCTTTTTCAAAGTGCATAAACAGCTCATCCAGAGAAATCAGTCCTCACAACAATGTACTAGCAAGGGAAAGCTGCCAAGTGATTTTAGTCATAGCCATCGTCATTTACACAATAAATCATATGCACTTATTATAGAAGACTCCAAGTGAAAATAAATTCTCAGAGAGACTTGGCCAGTATTTTTGTTTGAGCAAAGGGAGAATAAGAGAGGCAGGGACGTATAATAGCCATAGAGGTATGCCTCCATGACTGCCTTTGTCACTTGGTAGCTTTTTCCAACACCCACTAAGGCTGCTGACAGGATAAATATTTTAAAAACACCACG